TCCAGGGGGGAGGGGAGGGGGTCCTAACCAAACCCAATCGGAGTGTGAAGCACCCACCTGGCCGAGCAAACGTACAACACCGAGAGCCACAGCGCCAGAGCACATCTCTCACTGACGACGCCCCCCCCCCTCTATCTCTCTCTCCCTCAGAGTAGAGCGCGGGAGGGCGGCTCCAGAGAGGAGGGTGGCTTCGGGGAAGCCCAGGCGTCGCGCGCGTGTTGTGTCCGCCCACCTTTTAAAGCCTCCTCATTTCTCACACTGCCGCCTGTTTTCGTTTAATACCGCGCGTGTCCGGCCCAGGGCCTCGACGGCTGGACGTGCCCGCCCCAGAGCCGACATAAGCCCCTCCACGGCCGGGGCGGGGCGGGGCGGGGCGGGGCGCCTGACAGGTGGGCAGCCCGCCGGGCACGCCCCGACCCGTCCACAGGAGCGCTATGGTGCTGGTCCAGCAAGGACGCGCCACCACAACAAAGCGAGAGTGCGCGAAAAATGAACGTCGTTTTCAGTTCCGGGGGTTCCCGGTAGTGTGGTCTTGCTTTGTGCCAGCAGGGGTGTGGAACTGGAGGTACACACGAGTATGTCTATCATCACTGTGAGAAACAGTAGGAAGGTTTACAGGAAAATTTAACTTGACGAAAGTTGTAAAATTCCTACAAGTTGTTATCGTAAAATTACATGAAATGCGCATCGACTTATTAAAAAATGTGCTCTTGTAAATTTACAAGTTTCATTATAATTCGAGTTTACAAAAGTTTTGTAAATTTACGACGATATTTTTCACAGAGATTGTTTCAGATTGTTCAGATTGTGTCCAGTTCCACACCCTTCGGGTTTGTGTGTTTTGAAAGCCACTTGCTGCCGTGGTCAAGTTAGAGGTTGATGGAAAAAAAAAGTGTGGTTGTTTCCGTGACCCAAGTGCCCTGATAAATAAAGGTAGGCAGGGTGGGGTCGAGCTGGGGGGGACTATCGACAGTCCATTTGACCTCCCGGTGATCCCTAAAAAAAAACATAAATGAGAAGAGGCCGAAATAGCTTTCCTGTCTCCTGGGTTAAAAAATAAATTGCATATATATTTTTCACTACACCAAAATGCAAGTGCAGTATCATGATGGTTAGGCAGAGTGTCTAAAGAAATTGTCGTGACCGTGGTTCAAAAGTTCCCGCCTCATGACGTAATGTGTACACGGCTCTCCTCATGATCCAACAGAGAGTGTCGGCCGGACGCGCGTTCGTCTCTTTCATTCCCATTTTCATCCCGACAGTCTCCGGACACGCTTCCTGTCTGCTGCCTCTGCCGCGCTGCTGCTACTAGTCCTGCAAATCGCTCCGCTCGTCTGGAGGAGGCACATCATGAAACGAAAGTGGCGAACCACGCGGACGGGGTCTGCGGAGGACATAGAGTGCGGCTGGAGCGGGGCCTGGAGCGGGGCTGGAGCGGGGCTGGAGCCGTCCAAGGGTTGGAAACCCTGGAAAGTTTCCGGGAAATTTCAGGAAGATTTCGGGATAAACACAGAGATAGAAAATTTCACAGACTTTGGAAGTTTTCTGTTATCTTCCGAAAAATTTGGGAAATTTGCAACCCTCTGTTTTCCGTTTCTTTCCGTAAATTTTCCGGAAAATTCGGAAATTTTCTACCCTAAAGCGGGGCTTGGGGGGGGGGGGGCGCCCTGCTGGACCTTGGGCTGGAGCAGAGCCAGCAGCGCATAATCCTTGGCTGCCCTCCCCCCCCCCATGGTCACTGTTGTTGTCTTAAGCCCAGGGGTCTTGTGCCCACACCAATCAAACCAGGATTCCACATAAGCTGTTTGCATCCCCTGTCCACGCCGTGTGGTCCGGCCGCCGCCGCCGAGGTCTCTGTTGTGCTTCTCCAAGGTCATGCTGCAGCAGTGCAGCATCCGGCCCCCGCAAGTAGTGGAGTCATAAAGCACCCGGAGCTGCAGCGTCGAGACCCAGACCCGCGCGGGGCTCTGACGTTGTTCTACATACTGGGGAGTTCCCTGCTCCAGCAAGCCGACCGCTCCGCGCGGTCATAGGGGTGTGCGCATATGCTGCTTGGATTCACTCCAAAGGAACGGAGAGAGAGAAAAGAGAGAGAGAGAGAGAGAGAGAGAGAGAGAGAGAGAGAGAGAGAGGGGGGGAAGGATCTTCCTCTTCTCGGGTAAAGTGGGAAGCAGCAGCAACAGAGTAGTTGCTGCACACCCGTTCCTTTAGTATAAGATCGATACATGACCGACTAACAATAAAGTGCTCCGTTTCTGCTTGAGTTATGAAAATTTGCCATTTTTTGTAACATGGTCCAGGATTTAGGCAAAATTACTCTTCTTCTTTCATCGATACTAAAAGCGTTGTTATTTTTGGAATGTCTCTCTCCATACCATTTAGATTAGAGTGAGTGTTCCCATGGATATATTTACTAACCCACACTCGCCCACACCACTACTGAAACAAATGGCACAACACAGGACGGCTATATACGAGCCCCTATGTATTTCCAGTTGAGCAGCTCACAGCGGGCGATGACAGTAGCGGGGCGTGGCGTGGCGTGGCGGGGCGGGGCGGGTCGTCTGTCTCCCGCTCGCGCCAGGCGTGCAGACGCTATTGGCGGTCCGAAGGGGAAAGTGTAAATCCTGAGCGCGCCATCCACTCCTCCTCCGCGGTGACGCAATGCGGTGCAGATGAGAGGCACCAGCCATGAAGAGGTGGCCGATGAGCCCGGCACGCATGGGGTGTGACGGTGTGACGACCCGCCAACTTACAGCGATTGGGGTCGGCGTTGCGGAGGTTGCTGCCAGCAGATTCGGATTGAGATAACTTTATGCAAGGAGGCATAGAGCCATAGCCGGGAGAGGAGCGGGGGGCCCCCCGAGCGGTGGTGCTGATGAGCCCACGCCATGTACGGGCGGGAACCCCGGGGTCAGTCGTGACCATGTCGTGACCACGTTGTGGCCACAGCTAGGAGCAAAGGAGTCGATCCCACTGAATCCTATATGTGGTCACATTTTGAGACAGTCCCAGTCCCCCAAGACTGCCTCTACCGGAAGGCCATATTGTAGACCACATTATGAGCACAATGTGACCGTACTGTGACTGTGACCATACTGTGAGTACTACATGAGGCTGTAAGTGCAGCAAAGTGACTCCCCTCTCCTGTGACCGCGCGTTGTTGTAGCGCTCCGCGCGGTCTCGCCAATTGCAGGGCACTTTGTCCGATAAAGTCTGTAGGCCAGGCCGGGAGGCCTTCCCCCCGTTTCTTGTGTGTGTCTCGGGCTTTTTGTGGTAGACCTGCTATCCAGTTTGCGGACTGGTGCCGATGATATCGATAAGGGCGCACAATCTGATTGGGCGAGCCATGACGACATGGGGCGCCACACGACAAGAAGTTCAGTCTCTCTCTCTCTCTCTCTCTCTCTCTCTCTCTCTCTCTCTCTCTCTCTCTCTCTC